GGGATATGAATTAGACCCAGGCGGTGAGGTCTAATTCGTATCCCTAAATTCATAGTACGTGCTTGAGCCACAAAACCGCATAAAAATTAAAAGCGATGTGGCCACAACAGGTCATGAGAGTGGGGAGGAAAGCAGAGGGGGAGAAACAGAGAGGGGCAGAGATGCGAGAAGGGTCTCAAAGGCTAACATTTGGCAGTCCCAGTTCTGGTGATACCTGCCCATTCCTGGTTCCCTATTCCTGGTTCCCTATTTTAGGCCTGTGAGCTCGCCTGTTCTGTTTATGGTAATCTTCAAGCAACTTGAGTGGGTTTCTGTTTTTTACCACCAAATATTCCCTGATGAAGGCCTAAAGAAGGGGGACAACACAGTGTAGGTAAGACAGGAAATCAGGCTGGATGGAGTGGCTCACACCTATAATCCCAGCACTTTAGGAGGCCGAGGTGGGAGGACTGCTGGAGCCCAGGAATTTGAGACCAGCCTAGGCAACATAGCAACTCTACATAACATTTTAAAAACTTAACCAGGCATGGTAACACATGTCTATAGTCCCAGCTACTTGGAAGACAGGTGGGAGAATTGCTGGTGCCCAAGAGGTCAAGGCTGCAGTTGGCTGTGATAATGCCACTGCACTCCAGCCTGGGTGACAGAGCAAAGGCCTTTCTCAAAAAAAAAGAGAGAGAGAGAGAGAAAGAGAGAGAGAGGAAAAAAGAAAGGGAGAGAGAGAGAAAGGAAGTGAAATTAATAACTTATCAATAAAAATTTCAAATCTTATGTGGTGAATTACATCATTTAACCCCAGCTCTTCACTCCTCCCTGTATCCATGCCCTCTGACATGAAGTTTTGCAGTGCCAATTTACCATAGGTGGGCTGGCCAGCTCTGCCCCTTGACTTTTGACTCAGCCCAAAGAGACATGCTTTGGTCAGCAGGCATGATACAACCAAAGGCTTCATGGACTTGTGCACTGGACTTGCTCTCTAGAGCCACTGTCATTGCCACAGTTGCTGGAGAGTGACAGACGGCGCAGAGCCAAGTCATTCAGTCACCTCACCCTGTCCAACAGCAAGCCAACCGCCAGGCACGTGGGCAAGCTCACCCAAGATCAGCAGAACTTCTCTGACCCCAGACACACACGCAAACAACACTTCTTGTTGTGTGTGCCTGAGGTTTTGGAACTGCTATGTGGCAAAGACAACCGATGTATCGTATATAAAAACACACTTGGATTTGATCGACCTTTTTCTTATCCAGTTATCACCACTGATAAGTGAGGAAAACTTGGCTCTCCAAAATGGCCAAATAGGGACAGAACGTAAGTGATAGAGCAAGAAAAGGGAGCTTCAAAAAAATCCAGATTATACAGGATGTGTTTGATCTATCCACAGCCACTGTGGAATCAAATATCATTTTAAGGTTTATTGTAACATAATTATATAAATAAGCAAAATCATACAGAAAGCTATCAGGCATCCAGGTTCTCTGTACAGGTGGTTAAAAACTAAAAAAGCAGTCTCTTATTTTAAGAAACAGTCTTTAATTCTTGCAGCATAAAAACATCATTCATCTTCAGTGAGTGGTTACATGGTCTCCTTGTACCTGTTAGGTTAGACTATACACTGGCTTCTGAAAGCATTACTTAGAGGATGATTTTAAATACATTCACATTATCACTGCTTTCTTAAACGCGATGCAAAGATTATAAGAAATTTTTAACACAGAAATGGCTATTATATGAGAAGTGCAAACGTTCATGATGAACTGAAATTAACATTTCAATAGTTCGCCCAGATATTAATTTGATAATCATGAGGCTCAGGAACTTAAGAATTTTGAAGGAATTCTAACTAATGACCTCACATTTGCCTCAGATGAAGTTTGAAATCTAGTCATTTTGTTTCAGCATCTATATTTGTTTTCTATATTGAAATAGTAAGCCTCAAAGTATGAGTGTAAAAATACACAATGCTTCAAAGTGAAAGGTAGCACAAGTGTGGCTTTTATACTTGGGACTCGTTAACTTAAGAGTATCAGTAAATACCAGCCCTCCATCAACCAACAGTTTAACAGTGTTAAACTTCCACAAGAAGCTCTTCCCATGAGCCTGAATATAATTGTCTTAGATCGTAAGCAGCCATTCAAAAAAATTAAATATGCATAAATGCATTCAATAGCTGGTCTTCAAAAACCACAGCTATTCTAGAGCTCAGTGTGAACAAAGTTTAAGGTTAAGAACTGATTTCTAAAACTATGCAACTCCCATGACAAGCTGGAAGACCTATTCTCAGATACCAAAATACTCATGCACCCTTTTAAAGACCTCTCTACAATAGCTGTGTCACCTATGCTTGCAAACACATGGCATCATTGCTTCCCAGTTTTTAGATCATAGGTTCCATGATCCCTCTTAGTACACAAAAAGAAAGGAAAAGGCATTTCTGAAAGGCGTCGGAGATTTGAGTTTAAGAGCCTTTAGTTTATGGATGAGGCCAAACACAGAAGATCAGCAACGCACAAGTTTGTCACACACCATTTTGTTTGTTGACACTCAATATTCATTTTTCCATAGAAAGGGTGGTCACAAAAATGATGTGACTTATAAAAACATAAAATATCATTTGTTTACAAACCTATAAAAGTACTGTTATACTGTTAGAATACTAGAAATTAAATGTTTTAAAAATCAAATATATTTTATATGGCCAAATATAAGGAAACACATCTTCCACACTGTCACCAAAATTAACCTGCTTTAACATTAAAGAAAGTCAAATTTAATGGTGTCACTTTCCAGCTTAAAAACTTTCATGGGATCCCCAGATTCTACAAGATAAAGGGAGCATAAAAGAACTTGCCCCATTCATAAAGCCTGGATATTGATAATTCTCTCCACCCAAATCACAAGCCGAAATGCGATTCTCAGTGAGGGGTGGGGCCTGGCGGGAAGTGATGAATGGAGTGAGTTCTCAAGAGATCTGGTCATTTTAGAGCATGTGACACCCTCCCCATTCTTCTCCAGCTCTTTTGCCATGTGATATACTTTCTACCGTGACTAAACATTCCCTGAGGCCTCCCAAAAAGCTGAGCATGTGCCAGCACCGTATTTACACAGCCTGCAGAACTGTGAGCCAATTAAACCTCTTTTCTTTATAAATTGCCCAGTCTCAGAGATATTTCTTTATAGCAATGCAAGAAAAGCCTAATATACTCATAGAGCCCTCATCAACATTTTCAGCCTCTTCTGGAACCCTACCTGCCTGACACCTTGCTCCCTCTATTCCAGCCACACAACATGGCTCATTCCTCACTCAAACTATGGCCTTCCGTATCTCCTTGATTTTGCAGGCTTTGTTACCTTCGCTGGAGTGCCTCTGTCCACCTGGTCACTATCTATCCATGTGGCAAAACCTTCAAGACCTTGAAACCATCCCTGCCTTCTTAGCCCAGACACACTTCCTCTTCCTACACAGCTTTTTATGTTACCAGCCACACTCCACACAATTAGTTCTTCACACGACAATCTTCCCATTTTGGGTGAGGTCAGCTTCAGGGAAGAAATTATGCCTTAACCCAACCTGGGATCCCCTGGTACCTGGCACATAATAGGTGTTCAGGAAAGCTCTATGGACTGGAAGTGAGTGGAAGCCAAAGGGAGAAGAATAAAACGGAAGTTAAAATAGAAGAAGGTGAAAGCCTGCGGTGCTAAAAGACAGTAAGGATCTCAGCAGTAGAGTACGCCTAGTTTTTACATTGTCTCAGCTCACGTCGAAGTTTTTAATTTTGTCGTCTGAGGTTCTCTGAAACAACATCAATAGCTACCGGAAAGTTTTACCGCAAACTCTGTGTTATCACCCTGGCCTCCAGGGCCCAACTACGTAAAAATCACAGAGTCTTTTTTTTTTCCCCATTTATTTTATTGCATTTTAGGTTTGGGGGTACATGTGAAGAACATGCAAGATTGTTGCATAGGTACACACGTGGCAGTGTGATTTGCTGCCTTCCTCCCCATCACCTACATCTGGCATCTCTCTCCTTGCTATCTCTCCCCAGCTCCCCACCCACCTCCGTCCCTCCCCTATATCCCCCCAGCTGACCCCAGTGTGTAGTGCTCCCCTCCCTGTGTCCATGTGTTCTCATTGTTCAACACCCACCTATGAGTGAGAACATATGGTGTTTGATCTTCTGCTCTTCTGTCAGTTTGCTGAGAATGATGCTTTCCAGGTTCATCCATGTCCCTACAAAGGACACAAACTCATCGTTTTTGTTGGCTGCATAATATTCCATGGTGTATATGTGCCACATTTTCCCTGTCCAGTCTATCATTGATGGGCATTTGGGTTGGTTCCAGGTCTTTGCTATTGTAAACAGTGCTGCAGTGAACATTCGTGTGCACGAACCACAGAGTCTTAATCTCCTTCTCTTCTCAGGTCATCTTCTTCAGGCTCCCCCAATCCCACTGCACCTCAGCGACTTTGGCATAGATTTCCAGTGACCACATACCTGATAAATACCTGATAAATCTAATGAGCAGCACTCTCACCTTAATTATTTAACTTACTGGGAGTGCTGATAGTGTCTATCATTGAACCTCGCACCCCTTTAAGAACTAGCTCAAGGCAGGGCATGGTGGCTCACGCATGTAACCCCCAACACTGTGGGAGGCCAGGGCAGGTGGATCGCTTGAGCTCAGGAATTCAAGACCAACCTGAGCAACATGGTGAAATCCTGTCTCTACTAAAAGTACGAAAACATTAGCTGGGCGTGGCACATGCCTGTAGTCCCAGCTACTTGGGAAGCTGAGGTGGGAGGATCACTTGAGACCAGGAGGAGGAGGTTGCAGTGAGCTGCTATGGCACCACTGCACTGCAGCCTGGGTGACGAATAAGACTCTGTCTCAGGGAAAAAAAAACTAGCTCAAGTGTCACCTCCTCTGTGAAGCCCTCCATGACTCACCCCAGCCCCCAAGCCCACTGCACATGGTTGACTATCATCTTTGTTTGCCTATCTCTAATCTCTGTTTGGATTTGGAGTCTGGCATGTTCTATGTCACACTACAAGCCATTATCAACATGTCTCCTTTCCCACAAAAAATTAAGTTGCAAGAAAACTGAATTGATCTCTTAGGCTTTATCTTGCCCCTTCCAACCTGGAGGATTACTCAGATTCAACAAGGAATTACTCTATTAGCAATCACGTCTTTTCTCCTTATCACTAGTGCTACAGAAATGGATAAGAAAGAGCAAGAGCTAAAGAAAAACCGTGACAACAAAGTATGAAATTGTCCAATTTTACCCAGGTAAGAACTGAAGGGGAGACTCCACTTCTCTTCAATCAATCCTAACTAAACACATTACGGACCACACAGTAAGAGCTTTCCACATAACAACTTGTTCAATTCTCACATTGCAGTGAAATAGGTATATCATCCCAATTTTACAGATGGGAAAACTGAGGCAAAGAGATTAAATGCCTTTCTTGAGGCCATACTTGTAAGTGGCACAGCCAGGATTCAACCCAGGCAGTCTTAACCAACACTGCATTATCTCTCAAGACACACACCTAGGAGAAAGACGACAGAATGGAGGACTGCCTAAGCTGAACAGAGAAAGAGAGAGGAAAAGAAGTGGACTTGAGAAACACTCAACTCTACTGAGGAGGAAATTAAAAGAAGGGAAACTGGTCCTGATTGCTCTCTGTGCCAGCAGAATATCTGGTACTGGCCAAGGCCCAGGTTGGGCTGATCACAGGCCAGAGCTGCATGGGAACAATGAAGGGAAGGTAACTCAAAGCATCTGCATTGCATTCAGGAGGTTAGGAACCTGGGAAACGCCTCTACTTTGCGTTTAAACGCGCGCATGCGCACGTGTGCGTGTGTGTCTCTCCCCGTTCGTTCGTGTGTGTGTGTGTGTGTGTGTGTGTGTGTGTGTGTCTCCCCGTTGATGCATTCCTGGGTCAAACAGTCCTGATTATTTCTCACCATTCTCAACTCTGACCTGGCTCTGAACTCTGATGCTACCTGGCCTCACTTGGCTGAACTGACCCCACGTGTTCCTTACCTTTAAGCTCTTTATTTATTCAGAGCTGAGGTTCTAGGAGCTGATTCAACAGAGAGAGGTTTGCTCATAGTAGAGACTGGAATAAAGGTCAATAAATTCTGGGAAAACAACTCCTGTGCAACAAACTACTATTTGTATATAAAGTCAAGGTCCATCAAGGTAACTGTCAATTTGAAAAGCAATTATTGCACTCACGAGTTGAGGGTGGCTCTTAGAAGATCTATCCAACAAAAGAAGGAATGAATACAGCCTTGGCAATGTCTGAGGTTCAGTTTCCAATTTAGCTCCGAATTTGGCTTACAAATTCTTACAAGTCATTGACTTTTTGATTTATTTGTCCTGTGAATTTACAGATCCCCTCTCCATCTCCAACACACTCTTATGCAGTTCATTTGAGGATACGTTACAGCTCATCATACAGGGTCTTGGCTACCAAGAAAAGCAATGGGCAAGACGGGGCCAGCATTACGCCACTCAGATTCATTAGGAGTGAAGCTGAACTTCCTGGCACAAACCTTAGGTCAAAACGGCAATAAATGAAAAGAACAAAGAAACAACTACAGCCTAACGTTTTCAAACATCAATATCGCTTTGATGTTAATATACTCAGTGGAACACGAATACCGCTATTCAAACCGCTTGGACATTCATCTCCAAATTTCTGAAGCTGCACTCAATTTAATTCCCTACAAGTTGAAATTTTAATTCTATTTCAATATCAATCACATTTCTACTTAGCAGAGAGTCAACTGTTCAATCGTTTGCAGGATCTAATCTACTTCAAAAGAGAATCGGTAGCCATTCCGATCTTTGTCTTGAGGAGAGAATCAATACACGCTGTTCTCTGTGGGAACACACTCTCCTCCATGCCAAGGGGAGATGCTGACCCCAAGCAGGGAAGAGAAAGACTGTTTATTTCTTGGCACCAGGAGGCAAAATTTAATTTAAGTGTTCATGAGCTTTTCCTCTTCAAAGTGCTTCACAAATATTAACTAATTAATCTTCTCAGTACTGCTGCATATTACATAAGCTCTTTCAGGGATAAAGAACAAGGGAGGCACTGAATGGACCAGGTGGCAGAATCAGGAAGGTAAGAAACTAACCTCACAATAAGAAACCTTTTACCTGGAGGTGCTATGAGTGGTTAGGACAGGCTCCAGTGCTAGTGGTTGTGACTCTTCTATCAACTCTAGCAGTTTAAAATCAGTTAAGAAAAATAATGCGGAAACTAGGGCTGATGTGGTAATGAGCTGAAAGTTTCTTCTGGAACTAAGCCTCAGTTCCCTCAATTGTCAAGAGAGGCTGCTTACAGAACAAACTCCAGAGGGTGCTTATGAGGAATCAACAAGGTGACACATTCAAGATCTTATCACAGAGGAGCCTGCCAGTGCTCAGTACACACTGCTGCTATTAAACAAAAAGGGGGCTGTGGCTTCCAGGTGCCTAAGCAAAAAAATGGGTTAAACAGCTTCAAAATGTTTGCAGGTATTGTCCGTATTTTCATTTGTGAGAGACAATGAATGCAGCCAAAGGATATGCACCTCTTTTACGGGTTGAACTGTGTCCCCATCCCTAAAATTCCTATGCTGAGATTACAGCTCTTTTAGAATTTGTCTAGCTGCTGAAAAGCCCTTTTTAAAACTCCTATGTTGAAGTCCTAACCATAAGTAGCTCACAAAGTGTCTTAGTCGGTTCAGGCAGCTGTAACAAAATACCATGAACTAAGTGGCCCGTAAATAACAGAAATGCATTTCTCAGAGTTCTGAAAGCCTGGAAGTCTAAGATCAAAGTGCCAGCAGATTCAGAGTCAGGTAAGGACCCACTTCCTGGTTCACAGATGACACCTTCTTGCTGTGTCCTCCCATGGTGGGAGGAACGAGGGGGCACTCATCCCAATCACCTCTCAAAGGCCCCAGCTCCTAACATTACCTTGGTTATCAGGTTTCAAAGTAGGCATTTCGGGAGGACAAAAACATGCAGAATGTGACTTATTTGGTAATTCGTTCATTACAGATGTCATTAGTTAAGATGGGGTCATATTGGAATGAGGTGGGACCTATCCAACATATGACTCGGATTCTTTTAAAAAAGTAAATTTGGAGAAGGCCACACCTGCACAAAGAACACGTGCAAACATGAAGGCAGAGACAGAAGAAACAGAGCAGAAGCCAAGGAACGCCAAAGACCGCCAGCCAACCACCAGGAGCTAGGCAAGAGGCAGGATGGATTTCTTCCTATGCCTTCAGAAGAAACCAACCCTGGCCAGGTGCAGTGGTTCACACCTGTAATCCTAGCACTTTGGGAGGCCAAGTCAGGTGGATCACAAGGTCGAAAGTTCAAGATCAGCCTGACCAACATGGTGAAGCCCCATCTCAATTAAAAATACAAAAATTAGCTGGGTGTGGCGGCACACACCTGTCATTCCAGCTACTCAGGAGGTTGAGGCAGGAGAATCACTAGAACCTGGGCGGCATAGGTTGTAGTGAGCTGAGATCGTACTACCGCATGCCGGCCTGCGTGACAGAGCAAGACTCTGTTTCAAAAAAAAAAAAGGGACCAACCTTGCTGCTGACACTTTAATTGAAACAATAAATTTCTGTCGTTCAAGTCATCCAGCTTGTAGAACTTTGTTGCAGCAACCCTAGCAAACTAATAAAACCTCAAAATACTATCAGTTTTGTTTAATAAACAACCATGAACCCACCAAATCCCAAACACAAGCACACGGTTCTTGTGTGTCTCCACAGACCAGCGTGCTTGTGTTTGGGATTTGGTGGGTTCATGGTTAATCTAGCACCATTCACTTGTGACGCCAGAGACAGTAAAGCAAAGGGAGCACTGGACAACAACACAACTCAGGGTACCAGAAACAAGCACTCTGTAATTTGCTAGGAAGTCAAATTTTTATCATTCCAACTTTATGTGGCTTATAAAAACCCAACTTACATAATAATTCGCAATATGCCTACAGAGGACAAACTGCTTTTTTTTTTTTTTTTTTTTTTTTTACAGTCTCGTTCTGTCACCCAGCCTGGAGTGCAGTGGTGTGATCACAGCTCACTGCAACCTCAACCTCCTAGGCTCAAGAAATCCTCCTAGCTCAGCCTCCCGAGGAGCTGGGACCACAGGTGTGCATCATCATGGCCACCTAATTTTTTGTATTCTTTGTAGAGGTAAGGTCTCCCTTTGTTGCCCAGGCTGGTCTGGAACTCCTGGTTTCAAGCAATCCTCCTGCCTTGGCCTTTTGAAGTGCTGGGATTACAAGTGTGACGCCTGGCCAACAAAGTAATTTTTACATGGTCTGGATTACTCCCTGAGATGTGCATGGGCCAAGACACACCAATTGGCTATCTGGTGTTCAGCCTTCTTCCTGTTTCTCCAACACTGGACGTACCCACATCATTACACCCAAAGCTTTTACCCTTGTTGTTCCTGATGCTAGCATACCATTTCCCCAAAGATACACATGACCGGGTCTTCCTAAACTTGTAAGTGTCCACCTCTATGTTACCTCCTCCAGAAGATCTCCCTCACTACCTATCTAGTGCTGGCCCACCCATCCTACCCCCAGTCATGCTGCATCACGTCCTCCTTATTTTATATTCTTTGCAGCATTTATCACTCTTCTATGTAATCTTGTTTATTATGTATTATTTGCCTTCTGGTGTTTGCCTCACCCCACTAGAACGGAAGTTCTATGAGGACGAAGACTACATTTGTCTCACTCAACACTATCTCCAGTGCGTAGCATGGAGCACAGTGCACTGCAAGCACTTGAGAGATATATATATATATGGAATCAATAAATTAGCACCACTTTCAAAGGCAAATCATTTTTAGCTAAGTGCAAAGTCTTGCAGTTTATTCAAGGGAGAACCACTGGCCAGTGCAATTATAAGATCCTGGAAAATCTCAGCTTACAGGGTTGGCAATTCTAAAACCTGAGATATTGGTAATGCATATTTAAATGATCCCTACTATAAACAATTTGCTCTGTGTAATATAAACATGCCAGATAGTCCTTCCTAAGTAATCTCAGTTTAAACAATTAGTCCAACTGCTTCACTATTTTCTACACATGCTATCAGTAAAATAGTATGTGCGAATAAAACAAAATTAAGACATCTATGGTTATCACAAGCCAACCTTTTAATAAAATTGAGACTATTACAATCCAAAATGCAAACCTACTTGTTGCAACTTAACATTATTGTCTAATAATTTTTCTTATAAAAATAGAAATTGAGAATTATTTTTAGAAAAGCAAGATATTTTGATAAGATGTATCTAAATTTCAATCTTTTACAGCAGGCTCATCCAACCCACGGCCCAGGGCAGCTCTAAAGGCAGCCCAATGCAAATCCATAAACCTTCTGAAAAGGTTTATGAGATCTGTTTGCAATTTTTTTTTTTTTTTTTTTTTTTTTTAGCTCATAAGCTGTTGTTAGTGTGAGTGTATTTTGTGTGTGGCCTAAAACAATTCTTCTTCTTCTAATGAGGCCCAGGGAAGCCAAAAGATTGGACACCACTCTTTCACAGGTTCAAAAAGTAAACAAATGTTAAAGACAAATTGAATAAATGTCAGTGGCCTAGGAGCTATTCAATTCAACTTGTCTAAATCATTCCCCTAAGAAAAACAGCCATCCTGAGTCATAAGCTCTGAATCCTCAATGTGACCTTTAGAGCAAAACAAACAGTTATCTGTTTATATTTTAAAATAGTTATTGGCAGGTCTATTGCTCATGTTCTTTTAACCCACGTTAAATTAAAAAAAAAAATCCTTTAAGTCATTCAGGCTAAACCATGAATATTACAAACCAACGCTGTGATTTTAAAACAATAATAACAAAGAAGTCCCCAGGCCAATTTAACA